TGTTGTCAAAATCATACCCTTTGCAAAGGTCAATGAAACCAGTGAATATCTATAGAGCCTAGATCTATCTGGACAAGAAACACACAAACTTCCCTTTGCAGAAAACACCAGGGCCATAAGCTGCAGTCCTAATATCCTATGAAGTCACAAACTATCAGCCTCCTAAAAAGATGATCAACTAGTACTAGGAGCAAAGTTGGGACTCAAGACATGAGACCCCAAAATATAAGGCACTGGAATCCAAGGGTCACTACAGTAGCAGAAGCAAGAGTCCCCTGGCCTGTCCTCCCCAAAGCAGAATGCCAAAGACCACTCTGGCTTGCTCTAACACAGATCCTAAGACGGCTCCGGAAGTGCCTCCCTGGCATGCATATAAAGGAGGTGCTCCTATCACTAAACACTCGGGGGCACAGAGAAGAACAGGTGCATGCAAGCTTTTCTGAACCCTAATTGTCACTGCAATTGTGTTCCCTTGGTCCCATCGTTTTCCATCCTTGCCCACTTTCCATCAGCCTGAAGCATAGAAAGACACAAGCTTTCCCATTTCTCTAGTTCTTCTCTGAGAGTTTCATTCCAATAAAACTCCTTTTTAATATTTTGCCCACTTTTCTCTTGTTCATCTGTCTTTTGTTATGGATGAGTAAAAAATGTCTTCTCCCTACACTATTTTAAAAACATTTACCTACTCTATCACGTGAATAGTTTTCTTGAGTAACTCACCTCATCAAAACAGATCCAAGAATAGAGAGTGTGAATAGACTGAAGAATTTGAGTTTAGGATCGCAAGCCTTCTACAAAAAGAGCCTGAGGCCCAGATGATATCACTACAAAACTATGCAAATCCAGGCTTCATTTGTTCATAAAGCAGAACTGGTTCAAATACTTCCCAACGCATGTTATGAAGTCAATAATGCTCTTACTTTAGAGCCACCACGCAAGCCAAGAACCAAACTAACCAGTATCTCCCATGATCTCGGATGCCAAAGCCTGAGCCAAGCATTGTCAAATTAGAACCAAGACTCTGGGAAGTGGTGCATTATAGCATGCGCAGCAGGCCTGGTCCTGGACTTGCATCTAAAGACACAGCTCATTGGATTAATCAAAACTCACGTGGTAACTTCACCGTTTGCTGAAAAGCATTCTGGAATAGTCAACAACCTTTCAAGGTAAGACTCTCAACAACTGAGCAGTTCAAGCTCACACTCTGACCTGCAAAGTCTGCTTATGAGAGCTCTCACAGCTACTCTCAAGCTTGAGGGTGAAATGCTGCCCCCTACCTGACATCAAGAACAAAGCCAATGGGCCTCTTCAAGCCTCTCTGGCATAGTCCCTGATAATCTGAACGGAAGTGCACATCGCCTTGTGACCTGACCTAGTTTTGGAAGTGAAAACCCTCTTAGGGAATATTTTTCCCCAGTGGGCTAGAACTAAAAAGCACATTGAATAAAGCTTCAATAATGAAAATTAATTTTACAGTAAATCAATAGAAATGACTGAATAACAGTAAAGTGATTATTACAATTCCATAAAACGCCAGAAAGTTTGTGGCTGATGGATTATAGATGGTGATCAAAATCCATCTACTAAAGTGACTTCAGTGTCAACAAGACTCTAAGAAGATGTAAATGAGTTGTTTGGGGCCAGAGGAATGAACTGTTCTGGTTAACTCTTGTCAACACAACACGAACTCGGGTCAGTTTGGAAGTGTGAACCTCAGCTGAGAAATTACCTCCTGAAGATTCGGCTGTGGCAATATTTATGGGACATTTTCTTGACTAAGTATTGATGTGGAAGGACCTCATCACTATGGGAGGTACCACTCTTAGAAAGATGGCCCTGGGTTCTATAAGAAAGCAGGCTGAACAAGCCACAAGGAATAAGTCAATAAGCAGCACTTGTCCGAGGCCTCTGCTTCAGCTCCTGCCTCCAGGTTCCTGCCTTGAGTTGCTTCCCTGACCTCCCTTCATGATAGACTCTAATTTGTAAGAACTCTTTCCTCCCCAATTGGTGATGGTAGTTATGACAGCACCAGAAAAATAGCTAGGACACTAATATTCCCTTCATCCCAGGTGCCACCTCAGCTTTGAAAAACTTGACCTGTCTGCATGGAATCTGGAATCCACAGATGAGAGAAATCACAGGGCATTTGTCTTTCTGAGTCTCACTTATATCCCTCTGTTGGATGATCTCCGGTTGATTCCCGGTCAAAGCGCATGACATGCAATTGAAGGAAATTGTCTTACTAAACTCATCATTAGATAGAGTGAGTATACTTCAATAGGAAGATATTGAAAAAGCTGAAGTGAGAGTCAAAGAAAGGCCAGAATGCCACAGCAGCAGCAGTCGTCGAGATGAACTGTGCATCTGTTGCCATAGTGTCCTGATCCTCAGTACTTCTTTAAGCTTGAAATTTTTCAGAAAAGCAAGGGTGTAGACTGGGCAGCACAACTGGGAAAAGCAGGACGAGCTTCAGGCTTGACTCATTGCACCCAAGACTTGCTGAAAATCTCCAGACACCAGCAGAAGGTAGAAGTGCCAAAGGGACAGACACAGGTGTTGGGATGGGATGGAAAGCCATAAGCTAAAGCCTGAGTTACAGGCCTGCTAGCATGGAGCACACTGCAGGGAATAACAGAGACCTTGTCTCGACCAAGGTAGAAGGTGAGGACCCACACTCTGGGTGGTTCTCTAACCTGCATGCCTGCACTGTGGCACATGCATGCCTGAACTCACATGTATGAATGCATACATGCACATATGCATTGCACACCCAAACACACACACCGAGGTGCGTGTGAACACACACACAAACACACACACACAACCACATCGAACTCCAGGAACACAAGGGTTGCTGACGAAGCTTTGAGATCACATGACTTATCACTGAGAGAGTAATGGCATCAGAATTTCCTGGGACATTCTGGGTATAAATAGATAAAATTTAGTCCTTGCCTCATGCACAAACAAGTCCTCTCCATGCAAACTAAAGCCTCATTTTTGAAAAGAAAAATAAAAAATGCTCATCTTGTTTTTACTAACCTGCATCAAGTGTACATGAAAATGGATTTTGTTATGGCTTTTCATACATGTATACAATGTCTTCTGATCATATTCTCTCCTGGGCCCCCCACTCCTCCTTCTCTCTGCTTTCTGGAGCGCTCACCTTCCACTCTTTGTTTTCGGCAGTTTTGTTGTTGATTTAACTTATCAGGCAGGTTAAATGAGCAGCTATGGCAATGGCTTCCCTACAGAGGTGGAGGTTCCTAGAACAGATACTGTGCTGTGGACAGAGTTAGGAGTGGCTGCTAGGGCCTCTCACCTGTGTCACTACGCACTGTTATATCCTCCAAGGTGAAGGCAGGTTTGGCTGTCACAGATTTGCCAATTGTTAGGGCTGGTTAAGAGTGTTTGCTACTCCTGCAGAAGACCAAAGTTCAGTTCCCAGCTCCCAAATTAGATAAACTGACAACCACCTTGAACTCCATCTCCAGGGGGTCTGACATCCTCTTCTGACCTCTAGTAGTATACACACACACACACACATGCATGCACAAAATATAAAAGTAATCATTTTTTAAAAATTCACTCGTAGAAACTAGAAAATGAAGAGAGATGGGTTCGTGTCAAATTTGTTAGTGACCCCTTTTTGCAGGCTTTGTATAAAAGCAACAAGCAGCAACCTCCCGAGTGCTTTCCTATGTGGAAACTTCAAATTTGTCATGTAAGACTAAGGCCACTGTGCTGATGGCCGTGAGTAAAAATGTCATGGCTTGTTTGCTCCAAAGGGGAAGAATAGGGATTGTGTGACATGCAGCAGGAAGTATTGACAGGACACCCAAGTGTCAGCCTGCACCCAGCACCAAACTCTCAAGTATAATTTACATAATGCGTGCAGCGGATTGCGTTGGAACCAAGCAGGCTATGCAGCAGCCTTCCTTCTCCCCATATCTGTACCTACCTGACTTCTTTCTATTAACTCCCTGTTCAGAATGGTCCAGTCTGCGTGCCGCTTTCCAGCCAGCTCTTGGGTGTAAAATGCCTTTGCCGTCCAACCAACTCAGTCCCGCACCTTCACGTTGCCCCTCTCCAGGCTGTGCCCTGTCTTTCCAGCCACAGTCCCACCTGCATCCCGTGCAGGCATAGATTTGCATATGCTTGTACACTGTCTAGCATGTGGTTTGTTATTATGGGTGTGTGTGTGCGTGTGCGCGCGTGTACCCGTGCAGGCAGGCACATATGTACAAAGGCATGGAAAGCAGACATCTGAGGACACTGTCCACTCTGTCATTGAGACAGGATCTCTCATTAGTCCAGAGTTCACTGAATAGGCTGGCTAGCCAGTGAGCCCCAGGGATCCGACCGTCTTTGCCTCCCAAAAGCTGAGATTAGACACATGCAACACCATTCCCAATATTTTTAAGTGAATTCTGGGTTCATCTCAGGACATTATACTTTCAAAGCAAACATTTTACTCACTGAGCATCTCCCTAGCCCCTAAATATCAATTATTAAGGGAATAATTGGGATTTTGAAAAGACCAGAGTCATCACAGCTGATGATAGATTCCAAAGATGTCCCTGGCAGGAAACTGGGGGACTCACACCAGGAGCTGACAGACAAGAGTGAAGTTTGCTTTCAGGGTGCGGCCATGGGTAATCTCAGATCCAGGGAGCTGTCAGTACCTTCGCCACCAACCGTCTACTCCTGTGTAGTAGCAGATTCCATCTGCTTCGTGTATCCACTCCGTATGCCTTGCCCAAGAAAGTCCTCCATAGATGCAACTGCACACATGTGCTACGCTGTCTGTGTGGAGCAGCGATGGCTCAGAGATGAGCGTCCTGGAGGCCACGCCTGGAGAGCTAGAAGTAGGCACCGCATTTGAGAGGTCCCTTTCTGAGATGAACTATGCAATTCATTTCCCATGCACGTCCGTCAAACACTGAGGGTTTCTGGGTGGCTCATGTGGTTTTTTTTTTTTTCTGTTTCCCCTCTTGTAGATAAAGAAATCATCTACAGAGAACGGAAAGGGAACGTCATACTGCGGAATGTTGAAACCAATAATTCTACGGTTTTAATAGAAGGCAAAAAGATTGTAAGTACTCTCTCTAATGACCAGGATTATTTCAGAGGGATTTTTTTCTCCTCCTGCAAGTCAATAAAGCAGAAAATGACTTTAAGTTTCAACTTTTGGTTGAGCCGAGGGGAAGCATTAACTTGTAATACCTCTGGCTGAGTAAGTAAAGATATTGGGAAATTGAAAGTTCACTAATTTAATAAGTTGAAAGCCTGCTTCCTTGGGGGGGGTGGATCCTGAAAATTCTTCCACAGGTGTTGGAAGCAAGTGTTGCATATCAAGTATAATTGAAAGATAAAGTCCGAAGGCTTTCACACATTTACAGAACAATCGCAATAAAGCCCACAGAATAATACTTCAGGAGAACTTGCTCAATCTTATTTAAGAAAGAAGAATCTTCCCCTGCTCAGGGGATATTGACTCAGGTGCCATAGCTGTATCATGATAGAGAGTACAGTAAGGGTTTTTTATCATTTAAAAATAAGTACTAAGCCGATCTGAAGGTATTGCTTTTTCATCCAGGAAGCCTCGTTTTGGATTTGTGTATGAAGATATTTGTAAAACTGCCTGATTCACTACCAGAGATCATCAAAAGGGGATTGACTTCCTTTCTTTGTTTGCAATGCCTTCGCCCTTGGTGTTAGGGACAGTGCCCCTGTGAACCAAGGGTTGATCATTTTCTTGCCTGGTTTCCTTGGGGCAGTAAAAAGAGGAAGCACATGAATAGTGAGACCTGGAAAATGGCCAGATGTCCAGGTCAGAGTGATGATAAACCAGCCGGCTAAGACTTGAACCTGTGGAGGAATCCCAGGCTGATGGAATGTGGAGCAGAAGAGCTTTAGAAAAGGCCAGCCCGCCCCAGAGAAGGTCACTGGCAGATGAGCCTCTAGGAGTCCCAGAAGCATTGGGTGGCCAGGTCCAGGAGCTCTGCCTAAGAGGAGTGTCTTCTTCACTGACCGCCCCTCCTGGCCCCAGAGAAAGCCGCCTCTACTCTTGGCTTAGTCTGTCACATTTTTCTATGACATTTCTTTCTGCTCTGAGGATACTATGTCTTTAACATAGCTGCATCCTGCTTTTTATATAACCTGGCCCCACCCCATGAGGGTTTCATTCCCAGAATCATTTTGAGGTTCAATCAAATTATATTGTTCATAGAGGACTAGGAGAGAAGACTGTGCCTACCCTGTTGCACTAAAAGATCATTTGGGGTAGAATTATTAAAAATTTATCTGACTCAGCCACTTCAAATACTAAAGTTACAGAAACATTTTTAAATGTTCATCGGGAAGAGAAGGCACTCTGCCTGCTGCTGAGGGGAGAGTCATTTCCACCTTAAGGTGTGGTTTAGTCCAAGCCAAGAGGATATTTATAGCCATACATACAGAAGACACAGAGTGCAGCCCCTTAGGTGCCAGAGAGATGGCTCAATGGTTAAGGGCACTGGCTGTCCTTCCGGAGGACCCAGGTTCCTAGCACCCCATGGTAGTTCACAGCTGGCTATAACTGCAGTCCCAGAGGATCCAGTACCCACTTTTGGCCTCCTCAGGTAAAAGGCACACATGTCGTGCACAGACACACATGCAGGCAAAAACCTATACACGTAAAATAAAAGTAAATAAGTCTTTTTTAATATAATTTTTTATTGAAAAAAAAATTTCCACCTCCTCCCCACCTCCCATTTCCCTCCCCATCTCCCTTTTCCCTCCCCCTCTTCCTTCTCCTCTCCCCCTCCCCCCACTCCTCTCCCCTTCCCTCTCCAGTCTGAAGGGCAGTCAGGGTTCCCTGCCCTGTGGAAAGTCCAAAGTCCTCCCCGCTCCATCCTGGTCTAGGAAGGTGAACATCCAAACTGGCTAGGCTCCCACAAAGCCAGAACATGAAGTAGGATCAAAACCCAGTGCCATTGCCCTTGGCTTCTCAGCAGCCCTCATTGTCCGCCATATTCAGAGAGTCAGGTTTTATCCCATGCTTTTTCAGTCGCAGTCCAGCTGGGCTTGGTGAGCTCACAATATATCAGCCCCACTGTCTCCGTGGGTGGGTGCACCCCTCGTGGATAAGTCTTTAAAATCAGTAGTTTTTAACAGGTCATGTTTGACCGATGTTGTCTTAGTCAAATAGACAATTTCAGAATCTACTTTAGGTACAGAAAAAATGTCCCCCTCACACATTAACTGGCTTATTCCATTTACCGGTCTTTATTGCCCTGAGATGTCACAAATGCACTAATTTACAAACATTTATTGGACACTGAATACATGCAATCTGATCATTGGAAAATTTTTCACTCATTTAAATGCTGCCAGAAACAGAATTTAAAAAAAAAAGAAGAAGAAGAAGAAGAAAAACACAGAATAAATGTCACTTAGTGGCCTACACTGTAATTCAGATGCAAAATCTGGGTTTAATTCCTTCTTAGTTGCTTAGTTGCTTCAAGTGTCTGGACTCCTGTTTCTTCTTTTCCAAGTTGAAATAATTTCTCCTGCCAGCCTAGAACATGGCAGGCTGCCATGAGACCCAACAATAAGGAACCTGCAAACCCTGTGTCTTCCCAAGGTGAGGCAGGGTGAAACCAAAGGAGCAGGCAACATGGAGTGTGGGCATGCTCCACTCTTCTCATTGGTGCCACCAAAACCCTGGCAAGAAGCAAATTAAGGGAGGGGAAGTTTATTTGAATGGATGGTTTGCAGAGGGCATAGTCAGTCATTAAGGGGAAGGTGTGGCAACAGTCAGCCCTGTGGTGGCTGGATCTCACAGTAGGTCCTGTGGTGGTGGATCTCACAGTAGGCCCTGTGGTGGTGGGATCTCACAGTAGGTCCTGTGATGGTGGATCTCATAGTAGGCCCTGTGGTGGTGGGATCTCACAGTAGGTCATATGGTGATAGATCTCATAGTAGGTCCTGTAATGGGATCTCACAGTAAGTCCTTTGGTGATAGGGGCTCACAGTAGGTCCTGTGGTGGTGGGATCTCTCAGTAGGTCCTGTGGTGGTGGGGGCTCACAGTAGGTCCTGTGGTGGTGGGATCTCTCAGTAGGTCCTTTGTTAGGATCTCACAGTAGGTCCTGTGGTGGTGGGATCTCTCAGTAGGTCCTTTGTTAGGATCTCACAGTAGGTCCTGTGGTAGTAGATCTCACAGTAGGTCCTTTGGTGTATGGATCTCACAGTAGGTCCTGTGGTGGTGGATCTCACAGTAGGTCCTGTGTTAGGATCTCACAGTAGGCCCTGTGGTGGTGGGAGCTCACAGTAGGTCCTGTGGTGGTGGGAGCTAACAGTAGGTCCTGTGGTGGTGGGNCAGTAGGTCCTGTGGTGGTGGGGGCTCACAGTAGGTCCTGTGGTGGTGGGAGCTCACAGTAGGTCCTGTGGTGGTGGGGGCTCACAGTAGGTCCTGTGGTGGTGGGGGCTCACAGTAGGTCCTGTGGTGGTGGGATCTCACAGTAGGTCCTGTGGTGGTGGGAGCTCACAGTAGGTCCTGTGGTGGTGGATCTTACAGTAGGTCCTTTGGTGGTGGGATCTCTCAGTAGGTCCTTTGTTAGGATCTCACAGTAGGTCCTGTGGTGGTGGATCTCACAGTAAGTCCTTTGGTGTATGGATCTCACAGTAGGTCCTGTGGTGGTGGATCTCACAGTAGGCCCTGTGGTGATAGATCTCACAGTAGGTCCTGTGGTGGTGAGATCTCATAGCAGCTGCTTATTAACAGCTCAGTGGATCAGGAAGCAGAGACTAGTGCTGCCTTTAACCCTCAAGGTTTAATTTCCAGAGACACACCCACCTCACAGGGGTTCCACAGTCTTCCCCAAACAACTCTACCAACCCTGTAGGGGACATTCTATAGCCAAACTTCAATCCCATCTGTTGATCAATAGGTGGTCCATTATTATCTGAATTCAAGTTTGTTAAATTACTAAAGGCAGCCCGATGCCCCTGTGAGACCAATTGTAATTTCCAGGTTAGTTTGTTTGTAAAACAAGTGGAGAAACAGAAAACAAACTGTGAATTCTGTGGTCAGCTAAATTTTAAAATATATTCTGCAATCTTACTAATCACATTCTTTTTCCTATGCCAGTTAGAACAGATAAATTTTATACACATGCTTCTAGCCTCTTCCCTAACTCACAGTGATTGGACGAGAGGGCATGTGACCCTCTATCTGCCCTGTAAAAAGGAGCCAAGTCAGTGTCTTTGGGACAGAGTCACACTTGGGCTGAAGCCAGGCACTGGTGGTACAGGCCTTTAATCCCAGCACTGGAGACAGGTGGAACTAGAGTGAGTTCCAGGGCAGTCAGAGAAACCCTACACAGAGAAACCCTGTCTAAAAAAATAGAAGTTAGGTTGAGTGCTGGCCTCATGTGTGGCATGCCTTACCCTTCCCAAACAGCGTCATTTAGTGAAAAACTTTAACACAGTAATTGAAGGAGATACTTGTCACGCTGCTGTGGCAAAACACCTGCAAAATGCAGCTTCAGGAATAAAGGGTTTATTTTGGCTCACTGTTTAAAGGGGTTACAGTCAGTCACAGTGAGGACAATGTGGCTGCAAGAGCTCAGTGCAGCCTGTCATGTCGCATCCACAGTCAGGAAGCAGAGAGTGATGAACACCTATGTCCAGCTGGCCTTCTCTTCATTCTGTCCAGGATTCAGACTACGAACGGTGCTGCCGCATTTAGAGTGGGCCTTCCCACCTCAGCTAACTACTGCAGACAATCCCTCACGGACATGCAGAGGTCTGTTTCCGTGGTGATTTCTAAATATTGCCAACTTGATAGTCAATATAGTGATTACAGGTCTGCCCCTTGCCACTTGACACCCATGTGTCACTTTTAAGTCATCGCCTTCAAGCCGTGTCCCTGCAGACTCACGACCATCTCATAGTGCCTTCAGTCTGACTTCTCCGTCTCAGCTCTGCTTGAGTCCAAATCAGTCTGAGACTGAAGGCAGCCACTTACCTGGGAGCTCATGGAAATGAAAATACTAGTTGCATATTTCCAATATACAGTGGCACAAAGCAAACATTCCCATTCCAAAAGA